ATTCTGCTGCTGCAGACTCCGTACAAGCAGAGGAGGAGCAGCGGTAGCTCCCAGGCAGCTCCTGTAGCCCAAAACTTCCAGGCTGAGGAGTTGTGGTGTCTGGTCGCAGGCCGCTTGGAGCAGGATGGGGAGCGCTTTATGCTGTCAGTGGCCACAGCTCATTTTACATGCTGCTCCCAGCGCCAACCCCCCCCACCCTGCCTTGTTTTTTCCCCTGTCTGGAAGATTAACTATAAAAGTGAATGAGTTATATGGTGACTTTCAGTTATATGTAATTGAGAATTGTAGATGTTAAGTGTACTTTAGATTGGAATTTAACCGTAAATTAAATTTCGTTATACCTACATTACTTTTTACATGTGGTAACTTGAATAGATATTCAAGTTTTGCACAGAGCAAAAAGGTTAGATGCCGAGTACACGATACTGTAAAGAGGGATGGTCAAGTGGTTATTGATTACCAAAATCACTGTCTTAATATGCCCTTTTCCAGGTAATTCTTCCATCAAATGTCATTGACTTAGGCTGTTTTGAGAATATTTAGATTGTAGTTGTCATGTGTGGTGCCATACTTTCTATTTTACTCTTTTTTCAAAACTGGACCAGCTAGGAAAATACAGGTGTGGCATTTTCAGAAAAAAAAAAAAAAAAACTATCAGAAAGCAGTCATCTCTGTCTGTGGCAGTGTTTTCAAGCATGGTGTCCCAGGTCTTTGTGACAGTGCATAGCCATGCTTGCTTACTCTCTGGAAAGGTAAGCTTTTGAACAGCCTGATCAGTGGAAAAGTGATCTCTGGCACTGTTAACATGACTAATGTGCACACAGTGTGAATGAAACTCTGGTTTTAAAGCGGTGTTGTGTTATTTCTTTTCCAGGTTGCACGACTTATGGAAATGGGATTTTCCAGGGGAGACGCTCTAGAAGCTCTGAGGGCTTCAAATAATGACTTAAATGTAGCCACTAATTTTCTACTGCAGCACTGATGGTTTTCTGTGTGAAGGAACTTCACTTGATGGGTTTGTACACGTCTGAAAGAGGATCAAAGCCACCTGCTGGACAGACTCACGAAAAGTCGTCCCTGCAAGAGCATCAGAAAGGAGAAACTGGCTCCGCGTGACTGGTGATTCAAAGTGATGTTAATGAATGACATGAACTGTTCCCAAGCCTTCAGATCACGTGGTGGTTTCTAGTCTGGTTATCCTTTTCAAAGTAACTTTAGATTCTACTTATTACTGGATATCACCTAAATTTATTTTTAAAATAAAGTAGGTGGGTTTTTTTCTTGTAAATCCTTGTTAGACATGTTATCAGACTTAATGACTAGAAAAAAAAGCTCCAGCAACCACGACAACTACATTCACCTGTCAAGAAAAATTGCATTTTCTTCATTTACCAGTCTAATTTCTCTAGCTTACATGTTATTTTACAGTACTTGATTTTTGATTACAGTAATAAGAGGTTTGACGATCGCTCATTTTCAACTCAGTAAAGGGTTATGGGACTATTATGTCATTCTTCAGGAAGTTTTATTAATTCCTGTAATATTTTATTTCTTGAATTCCTTTTTAAATAAAAGTTGTCACTCAGCACATAATACACAGATAGGATGTGAGAAAATTCACGTGCATATTGCAAGCTATGGTAAGTGACCACTGGAAATTTAAACTTTTACAAACTGAGTGAATTGCAATTCAGATACAGGTCATGAAGATATTGGTGATACAGGTGAATCGAATGATACAGTAAGATCAGAACTGAAAAGGTTTGAATGACTTCCATGTCTAATTCAGACAGGCTTCTGTAACGATGGATGTGTGCTCAGTGTCCTATGTGCTGGTTTCATTTTTTGAGCTGGCTACATACTGTCTTAAAAGAAAATGATAAAAAGCTAACTTTTCTATATATATAGTTCTAGTTTTCTACTGTCAAAGATGTGGATGACCCTGCATTTGCTGAATCCTCACTGTCTGAAGCAACTTACTGTTGATCACAGACTGGAATATTAACCTTAAGGGTGAGTCAGGCTAACACAGGAGGTAACAGGACGCTAATGCCAAGGTAGTACAATATTGGTTTTGAAGTTCAGATTGATAAATAAACTTACCTGGCTTGACTCTTAGAAGTGCTCAGTATTAGCACCTTAGGAGTTTCAGGAGGTGGGGTGAAGTGAACATCTCTATAAAACCAAGCTGAAGTAACACAAGATTCCAAACTGTGACTCCATGAAACCAATCTACTCATGTATCTCAAGCATTTAATGTATGTTTCTGTATGTACTTTTGTTTGTACATTGTGTGTGTGTATCTGTCTATTTATATACACACAGGCATATTTAATACATACATACATTTAGAATAAGATATAGGTCATCAGAAGCATAACAAAGGCAATAGAAGGTGCAAAGGGGAGGAGGTGAAAGAATACAGGTGAGAGAAGGTTGTTTTGAATATCCAAATGAACATGTGCGTACCAAAGTACAGACCTGCACAGTCTCACTTGGCCTGGAAAATATACTGGGAAATTATAGGACAAGATTTAGGGATTTAGGGAGAGGGAGGTACCTTTCTTTTTTTTTTTTTTTTCTTTTGTTTTTAATTGACTGATAAAACTGAAAAAAGTCCTTCATGCATATAAGTCCTTATCCCGAAATGACATCAAATTTGTGCAGCATTCAGCACATGACATAATTTTTAATAAAGTCAATGTCCTGTATGTATGTAGTAGTATTTTCCAGTGGCTGAAATAAGGGGTTTTTGGAGTGACTCTGTTTTCCTGGGCTTTGATCAACCTCCTTCAGGGTTTGGCTTGCTGCTATGATCGTGTTATTTAGGTAGGGTCTGCTTTTTAATTGAAAGGTTTTGTATGTATGGAGCTTGAGTGGCTCTCTGTGTAGGCTGGGGATGCTCCTGTACCCAGAGAACTCTGGAAACCTGCTCTCTTACAAAGGAAAGGGCAAATGTAAGAAAAAAAGCCCTACAATAATTTGTATATGTAAACTAGTTAAATGTTTTGAAACAAGTACAGGTTTTAATTTTGAAACATACAGATTCTTCCTTCACAAATATTTTCTCAAAAGTAGCAATAAAGACTAGTGAATTACTTCAGAAGTCAAATTTTGTCTATAGGAAGTAAAGGTCCACCTAGCCCAGGGTAAATTAACTGTGACATGTGCCCTTTCCAACATTGCCCTGCTCTAGGGACAAGCACAAAAAGCATTTATTCCTTGGAATTTTAAAACATGTCGAGTGGCACGTGGGACACATGTAAGTGGATATTCTGCAAGTCTAAATCCTTTCTTACTGTTATCTATATAAGGGGTATCCAAATGTCACAGTGGTTTGGAAAACCCCGTTTTGCTGGGCATTTCCCAAACATGGTAAAACATAAGGGGTAAAATTATCTTGGTGATGTCACTTGAAAACTCACCTTGACATCTGTGAGAACAGTTTGTGCTCAAAATGCTTCCAGGGTTGTGATTTCCAATTAAAAAAAAAAAAGAAGTGGTAAAAGGAGGGGTCTTGGATGCCACTGAACACAGTTCCTGTTTTGTACAAGAACCATAGAAGAAAGACTAACACATTAGAGCTGGAAACAACTTGGTTTCCATTTGATGGTGAAACTTCCATGGACCATTTCTGGCAATGCAAGGAGCGTGTTCTTCACAGCCTACGCAGTGTTTGTCCAATACAGTTTTGAATATCTTATCGCACAGTTTCTGTTTTGTGTGTGACCCAACGATATTTTTTTAGGCAGTGAGAGAATGCAGAATACTTTTCTACGGAGAGGATTTTAAGTCCCTAGGAAATTCACACTGGTTTTAGTATTGCCAAGGCTTGGTATTTTGAAATAAAAGTAGTTGCTTCTGTTAAAATTTCTTTACTAGGCTGGGAATGTTGTCTTTTGAGACAACATCAGAGTAGTTTACTGGGGACTTTCCTAGACGGTTATGTGATACTTTGAAATACACCCACAGTGAGGTCTGCATTTGTGGAAATCTGCCTGATAAGCCGCCAGGTTCTCAAGCCTTAACTTTTTGCTAAGGTGCAGAATGTTTGGGCTCCGTACCTACCAAAACCATTTTCCTCTCCCAAAACAAGTGTCAAAGGTTGCCTGCTACTTACGTCAGCAAATGGACTGTCACAGTTGGTTCGTGTACCGACCTGTGCTGCCTAGCGCTTGTCGGTGCCTTTGAGAATATGTGATGGAGAAAAGGTCTCGTTACTTTTGCCTGAAACGAAAGAAGCAGCAAGCAAAACATACTGCAACTTCTGTTCATGTGTGCATGTGTGTATATATATGTATGTATGTATATATATGTGTGTGTGTATACACACCCATATGTGTGTATACATACATGTATGTGTATATATATACACCCCCATATATGTGTATATGCATATATATGTGTGTATACTTGCGTATATATACAGAGAGTGAGACTATTTATGTATTGATTTGATGAATTTAACTGGAGCTCAGAGTTTGTTCAAGAAAATTAAAAGACTCCCATCTCTCAAACACGTGCGTATTTGGAATATATACGCAGTTGCGAAGGCAACCGAATTTGAAAACACTCAGAACTACAGCTCTCCTGTTGTAGGGGAGCTGCATCTGTTTGAGGATAAATAAATGCACAGTATTCCTTTGAACTAATAGAGCTTTTTATGCATAAGTGCAATTAATTTCTTGTGTGTGTTTCTCTCCCACAAGAAAAACTTGAATGAGATTAGCTTTAACTCGGTAGCCATAGTAATAAGTATTTTATATAAATGAGTATAAACACTATTTTATTAGGAGAGTCACATGAACACACAAACACTGTATGTGTTTATATATATGCACACATATATGCTTTTTTTTAATTTTTATATATATATGTGCTTACTTAAAATGTACTGGGTTTGGTTTAATTTTAGTAGGACTACATTCCTCCTGTTTCCATATATAAAGGTATGCTTTGACTATAGGAATTCCACTCTTAATTGAAAATCAAATCAAAACCAATAATTTTCAGTCCAAATACAAGACGAGAAACAGATGATGGGAGCAGAGGAACAGTCCAACCTGATGGATGGGTGCGACTGGTGAGAATCTCAACAAATTGGTAATTCGATTGTTGTTGTTTGTTTTTTTCCGAAGGAGAGTTGTAAGAGGAAATGAGAAATTAGCTGGCCTCACACATGTTTGTAGGGGACTGTTTCCAGAGCTGAACGGTAGCGTTGGAGAAAACAGGTATATACCTACTTCAAAAGTGGGTGAAAAATTCCGGGATCATGGCTGGACAGAAAGCAGGATTTGGCCTTTTGACTGGACATACATGTCGTTTAAGATTAGCAAAGGAGAGGACGTGAGGGAGGTGGAACTGAGCAAAACCGGAGAGTTTAGAGAAAAGGAGCACAGTAGAAGATAGACTGCAGAGGACAGAAAGGAAAGACCTGCTGAGAGACGGATGTCACATTGCACTTAGTTCAGTTTTGAAAGAATTCACAGAGATTCTGCGTGGAAAATGTAAATACACACAACTGTGGCTAATCTTGTACTGAAAATCCACTGCTTTTTCAGGTGTGTCCGATAGGGGCATCCTTCTATTTTATTTGGTCGGTTTTGCATGAGATGATAGATGTAAGCAAGAGAGAAAACAGTGTGATCCCAGCAACTGAGCTGTGAAGCAAACCCAGGAGTCACCGCAGCGTGTGGTGAGAAAGCAGATGTTTCTGGTTTTCCAAGCACAGTTAGTCCTGCCAGCCTGACTCTTCTCCCGGCACCCCATCCCGACTGCGGAGAGACCTGCTGCAGGAAGGACGCGGCTGGCCGCGGGGACCACCGCTCTTTCCCCCCGAGGGTA